GAAAGCACTCCAGAGAGTTATCATCACAGCCCAGAAGATTATTGGCTGTCCTCTCCCATTCCTGGAGGAATTGTATAGCTCTCGATGTTTGAAAAAAGCAAAGAACATTCTGCAGGATTTGTCACAGCCTGAACACTCCCTGTTTGAACTGCTGCCTTCGGGTAGAAGATATAGGACAATTAAAACAAGGACAAACAGATTAAAAATAGTTTTTATTCGAGAGCTATTATTGCTTTAAATGCTGTCTGAAATTGGAATTTGGGTGACATTGGTGGTTTAAGTTGCAATGTGAACCTTAAGGGAGTTATGGGATGGTTGTGAATGGTTGTGTGAGTGTATACGAGTATGGCTGTAGATCACTGAAATGATTGCACCTTTAATTTCGTTGTACTATGTACAATGACAATAAAGTATATTATTATTATAACCAAGAAAGAGTTACAGACGAAGGCAGAGCATTTTTTGTAGAAAAAGCCCAGCAGAAACTCATTGGCATAATAGGCCACACCCAACAGCAGAAACTCATTAGCATATTAGGCCACACCCTGACAGCACCGCTCATTAGCACATTAGGCCGCACCCCCATGTTACCAGAAATGTGGTCATCCAGCCACACCCACCTTTTGATTCTTATTCTGTTTATCTTGTTTGTGGTCACCAGGGCCTTTTTTGTAGCAGGAACTCCTTTGCATGTTAGGCCACACACCCCTAATGTAGCCAATCCTAATGAGTTTCTGCTGTTGGGTGTGGCCTATTATGCTAATGAGTTCCTGCTGGGCGTGGCCAATTTGGGAGCCAGCCGGAACTCCATTCCTGTGCGTTCCTGCCCAAAAATAGCCCTGGACAAAGGGCTTTTCAGCATTCACATTTGCCTTGCTTGTAAATTCCTGTTTCTTGGGAGGGGGGTGTCTGTTCCTCGTGAGTTTTGCTCCCTCTAGTAGCCGATTTTGTATTACACTCTGTTATATCTCCCTGCAGATTTAAACTGCAGGTTTTTATGTTGGACATAAATCAGGGTAATATTGAATCAACCACTAGAGGGAGCAAAGTACATCCAGAACAGGGCAGAGACCAGAAGAAACGGGAACTTACAAAAAAGAAAGATGAGAATGCAGAAAAGCTCAAAGAATAGGTCTGGAAGAATATAGCACATCTGATCACATTTCCTCACCAGCAGGACATTACTTGCATGACACTGCTGTTGATGATGACTGCCGCCTATTTACGTGTTACAGTGAGTGCATGTACCAGAGGTCATTTCGGGGGGGATCGCGGGGGATCGCATTTCCCCCGGGTGAGGTACGGGGGGCGGGGCACATGACAAAGCCCCGCCCCC